TACCGGCCAGCCCCGCGAGGGGGTGCCTAACATAGACTGCGCAGTGTCTAGAAATTGCGTTTCCTAAAACACAGAGCCTAGGTATATTTCGGCCAGCCCCGAAGTTGGGCCTAATATAGAGGGCGCGTCTAGAACTTGCACTTCCAAAAATGCATTTCCTAGGCTTTTACCGGCCAGCCCGGAAGGGGGCGCTTAGGAGGGCGCAGCGTCTAGAAATTGCAAGTCTAAACACAGGTCCACGCCCAGATTGACACCGGCCAGCCCTGTAAGCGGGCGCCTAACATAGACGGCGCAGTGTCTAGACACTGCATATAGACGGCGCAGTGTCTAGAAATTGCACGTCCACACTGGGTTTACACCGGCCAGCCCCGCGAGGGGGCGCCTAAACATAGACTGCGTAGCGTCTAGAAATTGCATTTCCAAAACGGGCGCCGAACTTAAAGGGCCGGTCAGCAAGTCCAAGGTAGTATAGGCAAGCAAATAAAAGTATAAAGGCAGCAGCGAAGACGCGCCGAGCAGACATTTCTATAAGCGTTGAAGACCGGGTGCTACCATCAGCCAAACTATCGGTGAATGGGGTAGTAAGATTCTACAGGCTCGCCTGGGCGCATGGGCGACAAGTGGGAGACACATAAAATCATCCGGCCAGGAGCATCTAAACTGCCGATCTTCACCTTGAGCCTGTTAAGCCAAGAACTGTAACAAAACCAAGAAGGTCCGAGTTGATCACAGCGAGCTGGAACGCTTTGGGCCGTTAACTATTTGACAATTTGTCTCAGATCCCACATCGCAAAATTATCGTGTTTCCCCAGCCGTAATCCTAATTGTTATTACCCAAAACGCAGCGTCTACTAAGATTTGGCTAGAAAGCAGAATTAAAAGAAATTCAATACAATCTCTTCTTTAAAGAAACTAATTCCGACTAGGCTTATATGTGTGAGGGTTAATTCCGATTTGGATCGCGACTAAATTACGACAAATACTCACCTCTTAGGTCTTTCTAAACTGCATACCAGGGACCATCATATATCGACATCGTATCATTCTAGTAATCATAAAAGGTCGGTCCAGCAGAAAGGAAATTGCCCCTTACACAATAAACACTTGAATGCGTCCTAGGGAATCATTTACCATAGTTGGTAGGTAAATTGACCCATCTGCCAGTAATATGTTGTTTCCGCAAAATTAGATCTTGTTGGCCGGGCGGAAGTGGAATTCGCTCACAAGGATCTTGTAAATTTGGAGATAGGTCAAAATCTACATCAAGTGCTGATGGCGCATGAACACTGCTTGCTCCTGTGTCCAAGATGCCATGAACTCCATGCTCGTTGACGTGGCTATAGACAGGTTGACTCATAGCCATCGTCGCAGCTTGGCCACATTTGAGATATGTCAGGATGTAGCCTGCGTGCGATATGTGGCATTCTTGTAGGACGATTTTCAACCCTTTCCACTTTTGCTTTTGCCTGATTTCCTTCCTTTCCTTTCCCCTTCAGAGATGAGGATGAGGTTGGGGTCGATGGCATTGTGCTTGATGAAGATCCGGCCATAGGCGACGCATTTCGTAGGATTGCATAGACAGGCCAGAATCCTTTAGAGGCCTTGATCTCTGAGAAGTGCTTTCTCTCCTTCATCCCAGTCTTCTTCCCAGAACGCGAGGTCGTCATCGTCCCAGAAACCAGATCCGGGTACGTGGTGGTGTCGGCGGCCTCGTCATCATCAGCCCCCTAATCCCATGCCTCTTCGACATAGGCATCTTTTTCAGCAGCTCCATAGACATCATCTGCGTCCTCTTCATAGAGCTCGTCCAGGAGGTGGGCTCTTCCCCATGTTGCGTCCAGTCCAGCGTGTGTAGGAAGTAGAGAGCCTCTTCTATACTTTGGCGATCTCGGTTTGCGAGCCACACTGTGACAACACCAGTTGGCGTTGTTCTGCCGTCAACCCTGCCCTCCTCAGGAGCAACCAACCAGATATGGCGTATTGTGTTTTTCAAGTTCCCGTTGACGTTCTTTGTGTTGACCCATCGTGAAGAAGTAATTCTCCATTGCCCGTGGTGCTTCTACACGAGCATCGTGTTTAAAGCAGCTATCCAACAAGGCCAGCGTTCTTGGAAACCCGTCTTCACTCTCTGCCAGTTTTTCCGCTTGCGACTCAACTTGTCGCCGTGACACTCCCGTCAGGAGGTGAGCAATTGATCGTCGCTTCCTTGCCCTTGTTCTGGATAGCAAGATCCTAGGCCGCCATTCCTTGTGATTTTTGATGGGGTTGTCAAAGAGCGGGATGAAGTCGTCCTTCGCCATTCTCCTTTCACAGAACCTTTGCGAGGATGGAGTAGCGCAGGTTGTTGGTGCCCTCGAGCCCGGAATGTTGAGGTAGCTGTGACTTGTCCACGTTCAAGGGTTGTGGACGTGAGTATAGCTAGGCGCTCCTTAGTTTTCCGTCCACGAAGAGGTGTCTCGCGCCTCACAGCGTTGCCATTTGGCATGAAGCAGCTAGCGGCCCTCCCTGATTTCGGGCCAGCGGCGAACAAGGAAAAGACATGACTGCACATGTCAAGTTGTCGGAGTCAACTTCACACAATTTGTTTAAAGTCCGCCGTTATAGTCTGTCAAAAAGTCATTGTTTTCCCAAAATATCCCCCGTCGGAAACCTATAGAATCCGCACCCTTTCTGCGTGCACTGCCGGCTCACAATACCCAGCCGCAACTGGCACCCTCTCTTCACCACGCGCGTTGCACCCACCGGCTCTCAGTCTCCGTCACGCGCACAGCCAGCTCAGAGCACTCAACATACACCGCAACCAGCACCAGGAAAACAACAGATTAGATATATGCGCATCTTTTCGTTGCGCCGATTGGTTATGAGGCTTTTTCAATAGGGTGGTGGTACTCTAGGCCAGGGGCATTGCATGCGGGGCAAGAGGGTATATGGTGGGCATACCAGGTGGCAACCGAAGCAACATAATACACTTTGAAATCCGCCCGCACCGAGGGTACTCAGCGCGTAATCATCCTGATGGCATAAATAATTCTAAGGACGAATCCATTTGGAAGCTAACTTTTCTTGCGATTCCCGCAGTATTGGGTCAGTCAGTTTGGGCCGTTTTTGCCTCAAATTTTCTGGTGTAGGTCGGTGTTGCAGAGTTTCGTCATTGAGTTTGGTCGATTTGTTGGCTCGAACGAAAAAACCACATTCTGCAACACCACCCTTTGATCGAATGAGCAACTGAGTCCAAACACGCTGAAAAAACACCTTGATTGGCAGCGAGGAGATCCAGTCCAAATGATGTTGCAAGCTATTCCATTTGGCACAGGCCTTTCATCCCCCAGCAAATCATCTGAAGAATGCTTGCATTTGGGATTGCGAAGTCATTGATTCACTTTCAGCTCAGCCCACGACTTACCCTACTTTGTTGCATTGTTTCCTTTCCTTCAGCCCTCGTTGAACATCTCAAGAAGGATTTCAGCGTGTCCTCCATCTATGCTAAGTCTCAGCAAACGCCTCCACTCTTTGTGAGAGGAGTGCGCCACAGTTCTGGACCAAGGTTGCCAAGGCGGCGAATGGTCCAGAACTGTGGTCCATGAACACATGCTCGAATTGGACGAGCGGAGTAGGCAGCGGTTTTTCTCGGCTTGAAGCGAAAACAGACGAGGTTGGAACGGTTCAAGCCCGTTCCGCAGCACAGCCTGTCTGGTAGGATGAAGATGGGTGAATTAAATGCATATGATTCTTTCTCCTATCAACTCTTCCAACCATCCTTCCAGTGAAGATTCCAGGGATCCTTTTACAAACCGCACCCGTTTGGTTGAGCATCTTGTGTGCAGCTGCCTCCTTAAAACCTGGAAACGTTCGAAGGACGTTTGCCTTCGGCCCAGGGCCTCCACTGAGCAGATCGATGGCATCTGCGGCCACTTTCGGCGAAGCTGGAGCCGAGTCTGATCGACGACGTCGATGTGTTTTCACACGATTTCATCCTTCCCTGAAAAAAGAACACACAGAGTGAGGTGAGATCGTGCAAATCATCTCTTGCAAACAAGAAAAAAACTCTAAACTTCTTTCTTTTGGTGCAGGTGGACTGTTGACGCAAAGCTTTATGTCAAAAACTCGTGGGTCTGGCGATGGAAGCTGGGCCCCACGAAGGATCTTTGCCTTCGGCTATGTCTGGACCTCAGTGGGAAGAATTTGAGTTTCCAGTAGTGATATTGCTCTTAGGTTGGATGCCATCGCATCTAGGAACCAAATCATTAATGCGAGCGCTTCTTCAAGGAACTCAAACGGGGGGAGCTTTATTTGAAGAACGAGCTATCCTGCGTCCTACCTAGAAGCTAGCTTAGCCTAGTAGCTTACCTCCTTACTTAACTAAGTAGGCACCTACTTAATTAAGTAGGAGCGAGCTAACAAAACTGCTCAAGCTGCGTCAAGGTCCCGGCATTTTGCAAGAACACCTGGCAGCAGATTGGTCCAAGACTCCTGATAATCACTCACAAACTAGAAGCTTGTTGCTGGATCTTGTGAACCTGAGTAGATGCGCAATTTGTTTTTGCCGCGTGAGCAGTCCGCAGTTTGACCCCCTCAAAACACCCACAACAATTCTAGAGAAAACTCAACGGAAACCATAAGGAACCACATTCAATGGCCTCCACCCTAGAAGCGATGGCCTCCAACCTACTACTAGCGATGGCATCCAACCTAAGAGCAACAACAATTCAAAAGAACATATGAGCACACCAACAGCTTTCCCCATGCGACAGTCTTGTGTCCATGACGCTTTCCTCGCTGTCCTTCATCACCCAATCTGTCTCCCGGATGCACTTCCCACAATGGATTCTGTCTGTTTCTTCGGGAATCATCGATGTGCTGTGCTGTTTCTTTTTTGGTGCCTTTCGCTTCTAGGGTGGAGGCCATTGAATGTGGTTTCCTTGAGGTTTTCCTTTCAGTTTCCTTGATGTCCATCGCTCCGGTCCAAGCGGTCCAACCGGCGCGTCGCACGCGTGTGACCTTCACTCGGTCTGTGCCAACAGGTCGGTGGAGGACACCGAGACCATCGAGGAGAGCGACTGGTGTGACGCCTCAGAGATCCGATTTCGACGCCTCGTGGGGTTTCTGAAGGATGAAGAAGGATGAAGAGCGACGCCCCAGAGAAGTTGTATCATGTCGTATCATGTCGTATCGCATCACATCGTCCTCTGAAAGCATGAAATGATTGGTGAAGTGATGGCGAAAACAAGCTTGCAGCAGCTTGGAGCTTGCAGCTTGCAGCTTGGATACGGTTCTTCCCCTAGACTGAGCATCTCTTTGGCTTGTCGTCCTGAGCGCCCCTGCAACGGGGATCACCTGAAGAGTTGGGCAGGATGTGAGCTCAGCTCACTGAGTCTCGGTCTCCACTTTCCCTCAAAGACGTTTGCTGAGAACTTGCTGTCTCAAACAACTTGATCCACAAGAACTTCCCCAACAAAGGCTTGACCCTTCCTTTTTTGGGTTCACTTTTCATCGTAATCGTCGAGTCGACGAAGCGACAAACTCCAAGATCCCATCCCAACCAAATCAGCATGAGCTATCCTGCGTCGAGCTAGAAGCGAACTTCTCCCTTGCTTAATTACTTAAGTGGGCGCCTACTTGATTAAGTAAGGGCGTTCTGAGAAAAAGAAAAGAACGCGACCAGAACCTAGAGGTCTCCCTCAAAGAAAGCTCCCTCCACCGCCTCCCTCTCCACCTCTCCCCCTTCATATTATAACGTGTCTTCAGATCGTTGTCGTCCCAAACGCGGACGTCGCCTGGATGGTGATCGGCTTCTCTGAGATGGGGCTCGCCAGCGGCTCCGGGGGTTCTGGTGTGAAGCAGCATGCAGGGGGGGCAACGAAGAAACCGCAGAAGATGATTCAGAAAGGAGCACCAGGTGCTCGTTCGCCGAAATGTCCAGTTTCGGCTCTATGTTTTTGGTGCATGAGACTTCCTTCTTTCCATTCTGCCAATATCCAGGCAGAGTGCCAGGGACTCTCGGGTCTCAAGCTCCAAACGTGGATTCTCACCCAAACGTGGTGTGGCGTAGGTGAGTTCTGTTTCAGGCCTCGCTAGGTGAGTTCCTCTCTATCAAAGTGGCTGAGCCTGTCCGCGCTATTTTTTTGGTTCCAAAAAAGACACCGAACAACGCCCTTGCCATGCCCGACACCCCCGACACCTGCGCTTCGGCACCAGGACATCAGGGCACCCATCGTCTCAGCGAGTGACGCGGCATCGCGAACCGAACGGAGCGATCGGACGCGAACGGGGCCCTCCTGGCCTTACTAGCAACAAGAAGCTACGTTCGTAGCTATTTGCCACTAGTAGCGATGGCCTCCAACCTACTAGCGATGGCCTCCTAGAGAATTTTCAGCCAAAAGCCGATTTGCATGCTCCATTCACGGACCCACGTGCTCCTGCTGGGAAGAATGTGGGCATCCTCTTGTGTCAGGAATCTATTCCTCAAGATTCTTCCTGAGGCAAACATCCTAGGACAAACTGGCAGGGCAATCCTTCTGTGTCCCTGAAAAGACATGGAGACCTAGTCAGACAACTGAAGCACCACCCCGAAGCAACGACATCCTTTTGAGAAAAATCAAGGGGCCGATTTGGTACCATTGGATCCTATTGGTTGTTCACTTGGGGATATCCCCTTATGCAACCAATAGTAAAAGGCCATGCATGTCCCAAAGCGGGATCGTTCTGAGATGCCCCCGCCCCGGTGGCTGCAACGCCCGCCAGTAGTGCTGGCACCAGCAACCAGGCAGCCTGCTGTGAGCGATGCCAGGCAACGCAACCCGACGGAGGACATCGAGTGGGTTTGACATCAAAAAGGATCAAAAGCAAACCAGAACTTTATAGCACATGCAGGAACACCTGTATAGCACATGCAGCACGTCTGGGGTGCAAAAACGAAACACACCACCCACAAGAGTCACACACACAAAAGATCCTCCAGATTCTTCAGCTCCGCCAAAAAAGGAGCACCACATAGCTGCACAATAGCTACACCCAAAAAAACACACCACTCCGACCACTCCTCCCTTCAAACTGAACAGAAAGGAGCGCTCTCTGGGCGCTTTTTCTCCTCCCTTCGCCTCCAACCTACTAGGGATGGCCTCCAACCTAGCAATCAAAAAATCTTTCGCCTCCTCTTCCTCCTCCAAAAGCTCCAGTGGCTGAGCTTCAAAGCCCATGTCGCCATGGTCGCCTCCAGTCGGACAGGCAGGCGCCCCCGCCTTCCCAGGTGATCCTAAGGTTTCTATTGGAAAAAGGAAGAACCGACCAAAAAAGGAAGATCAGGTTTTGAAGATCTGGTTTTCAACCTGTTTTCCTTTTTCTGAGGATTTCAGCCTGTTTGAAGATCTGGTTTTTGTCTTTCCATTTCTTTCCCTTCTTTTTCCGACGGCTTGGACTCCCGTTTTCCAAAGGCACCGGATGTATCTCGCCCAGTGACTCTGCAGGCGGCGTTTCGGTCGCCAGGTCGGAGGGACGACCTCGAGGGGAATCCGAGCAGGAAGGGACCCCACGAAGGAATTCCACCGGAAGTGGATCTGGTTCCGCAGGTTCTTGGCAGGTCTTTTGGTATGGCACGAGAGCGGAAGTGGAAAAAACCGAGGAGGCAGCCGGCTCTTTGGTCGGATCTGGGCTCAGATTCCCCCCACCCGTCTCGGTTTCCACGACGCGGATCGCTGATGATCGCTGATCGCTGGTGGATGCACAAGGCAAGCTCTTTTGTGCCGCACACGGCGCCATGGTCTGCATGAAAGTGTGCTGAGGACTCGCATGTGAAGAATTCATCCCCATGCATGTCACACCACATCCCAAATGGAAGAACATCTGGTTGAAAAGGACGGTTTGCACTTACTTCACCTCCCAAGCCCGCTGTTGGCCTCTCTCTCCCGCTGTTGGCCCCGAACGCAGGCACTCTTCGTCTCCGCGAGCGCCTCCCCGTCGCCCAGCCGCGCAGAGCCTCGTGAGAGCTGTGAGAGGCGAACAAAGAAAGGAGAGATGCCAGCGTCCGATCGCTCCGTTCGTAGCGATGCCAGGAGCCCCGTTCGTAGCGTCCTTACTCCTAGTAGTAAGGCCAGGAGCCCCGAACGTAGCTGCGTGCTGTAGGTTCTCTTGCCCCAGTGATCTTCCAGAAGATGGGGTTATGCTTGCCCGATCATGTGCCTAACATCTTCTGAACACTTGGCCAGAAAGCAGAACGCAGCTCAGCGACTCTGCTGAGATGCACGACATCAATTCATCCAACAGCGACCAGCAAAACCATAGCAACTAGGTGCTAAAGTGCCCAATGAGGGGACGCGTGCACATTTAGGAATCCGCATCAGCCAAAACGATGCATCTTCAATACAGGCATGATTGAAGTGATTGAACTGACCTTTCAACAAACCGTGTGGAAACAAATAAGACAAGCCACTAGCGATCTTACCTTGTTGGGCGCTGACCAGGCTCAGCACTCTCCTCCCCTCCCACTGCAGGACTCTGCTTTTAACTGGTACTCGGTCGCGGTATGTCTGAAGCCCGCGGAAGGTCCTTGCGAAAATCACCTACCTATATACACCTTCTGTGACACACGTGGAGAGGGGCATCACCTCCATAGCCAACACCCGCATCAGTGGACCTAAGACACCGCTATTCAGACGGACAATACTGGTGAACATGTCTCAACAAAAACCAACGAAACCAAAGGTCTTGGTCCACTGATGGCACCCTCCTCGTGTTCAGGTCGGTGAAAATGCCAAAAGGAAGCGAAAATGGGAGCCGTGGAGAGGGCCCGGAGGCCTCGGGGGGTCCGGAGGTGTTTTATCTGGGGTCTTTCAGAAGAGGAGAAATGGGCTCCAACTGAAGAGCGATGGCCTCGAACCAAAGAACACACCCCACAAAATGTTTTAGATCAAGTGCCTTTGTTGGTTGAAAAAGACCTGGTCCGATCGAAAAAACAAGGGTTTGCAGTCCGATCCCCTACGGCTTGATCTGTGCTATCCGAGAACTGTGCTACTCCTGTCCCTTTAAATTGGCGTGTGTTCGAATTCCGCCGGAGCCCGGTGGTCTGCGAGACTTCTCACTTTGAGGCAGCCCGCAGAGTGGGCTTTGTTCGACGTCATCCAAGCAGGGAATCATGGACTTCTTCCCCAAGGAGTGTGGTAGCAAGAGGCTGAAAGACAAAATCCACCAGAAAAAGCCACAAGAACCGAGATATCAACACTTTGGTCAAACACTTTGGCGCCTTCGTTTCTACTCAAACAAGTTCTACAAGAAGCAACCGTCAGTTGCATGCATGATTCTTTTTCACGGAACAGAACCTGGCCCGTCGGCTTCGGAAAGGCTCAGGGAACGCGAGACTGGAGGTCTCTCAGGTAAAAGCACAAGCCGTAACTCCAACAATCTCCAACATAGGCAACTTCAGCAAAGCCTTGCCTTCAAACAGCGCCGGTCTTTGATCTTTGAGGATCCAAAGCCTCTTTTCGATACAACACACAAAGCTATAGCTTTTGGGCTTGAAAGAATCACACGAATATACATCATCGGAACAAGGCCACAAGGCTAAGCTCTCGGTACCCAATTTCGGTAGAGCAGCTCGACTTTGGGGGTTTCATGTGGCCATCACGGTTGTGCCCATTGGCCACATGACTTCGGCCCCTGCACAAACAGCTCTTCGGCGTCATGCAACTAATGTAGGAGTGGTGCTCTCACATCAGAGCCTAAGGGGACCAACAAGGGGCGACATGGGAAGCGAAAGGCGAACATGCCAACAACACACCCGGTCTCATGGCCTTACCAAGACCGAAACACAGAAATGGTCGCTCCAGCTGGGTTAAAATATGGGATTAAAAGGGATGGCGCGGCTGAACACGTATCTGTGATCTTTGGACCTGTGAACAGCCAGCACCGTTTGACACAGAGTGACGCGTGGTGTCATTCATTGAGCCTGCCCTGCGATCGTCGAAGGAAAATCTGGGCCCCGAGCGGTCAAAAGGCCCTGCTTGGTATTTAGAGTGAGTGGATTTAGGATGTCATTTGAGGTGTTGTTTCTCAACCTTGGGGACCTCCATCTCTTTTGAAATAAACAGACTATGATACACACAGCACGGCCGCTTGAGTCCGCAACTTCGACGAGTACGCAGGGCCCATGCGAGCTCTGTGTCAGATGGCTTCCCCCGGTGGGCCCGACGGATGCACACTTTTCGGGCCGCAAAGGACCTGGCAGGAGCTGCAAAGGTCAAGAAATCTGCTAAGAAAGGAGTCCTTCTCCAAAAAGACTTAGACCTACTGACCTACTTGGGTAGGGGGTCCTCACCAATGTACACTATCCACAACTGAGTCATTTTCCTTTTTAAGAAGAAAGTTGCCCCCACCACGCTGCAGCAATATCGACAGAGGGTTGTGTGGGGAGTGAACATTGTTCTTTGATCGGTTCCATTCATTTCACCTCTACAAAGAAAAACACATCGTCAGCAAGACTGTGAAAAACCAAGCGATACATCAGGGCACATCTTCCATTTGCGTCTGAACACTGTTGTCGCCATTTCTTTCCCTCTTCTTTGTTCCTAGTAGCTTCTTGTTCCTAGTAGTAGGGTCAGGAACCCCGAGTAGCGTCCTTGCTCTCAGTAGCGATGCCCTTTGCTACTAGTAGTCCTTTACTCTTGGAACTTCCTTCGTCGCTCTGGTTTCAAGCAGTCGCCGCTGTTGACAGCGACTGAGGCCCCGGGCTGTCCAAGCTGCCCTTCAGCTTCAACCGATCCTTGCAGCGCCTGCCCGACAGGCGGAGGACAGGCGCCAGCGGAAGCTTCTCCGTGGGTGTGAGAAGAACATCCGACTCAATCTCAGAGGGTCCCAAGACTTGCTTTGTTTCGCTACTAGGAGCAAGGACGCTACTAGGGGCTCCTGGCATCGCTACGATGTTACTAGGGCTCCTGGCATCGCTACTAGGAGCAAGGATGCTACTAGGG